TCCTCATGAAAACATACTGAAGTAAGGTCGAAGTTAAATCATACACCCAGATAGTCTAATTGATGCTATATTGTTGTACAATAATGAAACTGATAGTTCATTTTTAGGTTCATACGAAAAAATCAATATCAATTTTGAGACATGCACCTGTTGTATACCCTTCAGATATTATTTTTCGCGCAGTTATGTATAAATAACATCAATGCATTATTTACATTTTCAGATAGAAACGAAAGATGTCTTAATTTTCTAACTATATTTGTGCACACAAGCCAGAAAATTTGGTTGACCATAATAAAAGTCAGTTGTTTTTTCGGTACATGTTTCTCCTTCAGTTGGATAAACATGTGGACAATATACAGATGGTAATAGAGGAACAAAATTTATATGAATACAACGACAAGCAATATTTTCTTGATCTCCTTTATCATTAAATCTTCTTGTAATGTTCCCTTACAGAATTGATGTGTAATAGCATATAAAAAAAATTATTTTTTATTGATGTTCTTCATCTATATATGTATCTAATGTTAATCTAAGATTTCGCATTTGTCCATCGTAGCCATATGGTTTATAATCTTTATCAACAGCCATACTTGCAAAAGAAGTTAATGGTTTATTACAAGTTAAATTAAATATGAATGCAATTTAAGTGATTAAATATTTTTTACCATGAGTGACACGTACGAAATCCAATGTTTGAAGAACACTTTCTCATGATGGTAAATTTGGTATTGGACAACGAATTTCATATAAATATTCTAGAGCTAGAACTTTTGTTGAATATGTTCCAGAGGGTGGGTGCCGGTATGAGTATCCGTGAAGATAACATCAATATCCATACTCACATGTACACTTCCACTCCCCGACACCGCTTTTTATTCCATTCTCTGAAGAAAATACCGCCCAGAAAAAAAAAGAATTAAAAGAAACAGAAAGAAATTTGTTGACACAAGAGGGTGGCAAGTTTCGAAATTTTCTATTTTGCGTGATCATTTCCACAATAAGAGCATTATTTTCTTGAGAACGAGAACAAGAAAGCAGCATTGTTGTCAGTGACGCTGCTATTCGAGCGAAAGCAACGTCTTTTTTTTATGTTCTTCATGTTTACTCTCATGTGTCGTTTACCCATGTTCATTTTTTCCGTTCTCTAATCATAGCTCGTACACAGTTGCATGTTTTCTGCCGAACATCGATACATTGCATTTTTTTTCTGTAGTAAAGCAACACGATGGGTTGTGGCAGCTCTGCGCCCGTGCACGGTAAATATAACTGTAACCAAATAGTTACATTACTCTTATTCTCAATATAGGATCAAGCATAACATCGACAAGAAAAAGATCGTCGAATGGTCATAATGATGGTGGCATGGAATACAATGCCGAAGATACAGGTGATAATTATGGAGCAGATGTGGTATTTATGGCGGCGGCGTTGTAATTATGGAGGTAGTGACGATTATGATGGGTTAGCAACGATGGAAATAGTTAAGGCACAGATGGCATGACTAAACAAGTTGAGACGAACAGTTTCAAACTGATAAAGATTGATTGTTTTTCTTAGTTTCTTGTTCCGTCTGTGTTATTCTAATCAAAATAAATCAGTTCATACATGAATGTGATGAATTCTAACAAAAGTGGTGTGTCCAATTTCAGACTTCGCTTCCCAAAAACTCTTAACTAAATTTTATTACCCTGATAATCAGCATTCATCTCTGACCATTAGTTAAAAGTTTATTTTATATTTTTTTATTTAGTCTGATAGAGCGCAATGTGTTGATTATAAATGTCAAATTTTTGAAAAATTAGTCGGTTAATAAGAAAGGTCTGAAGCACTTTAGGTGTGAGTATGGATGTTAGTGTTAGTGAGGGTAAAGGAGTATATAACCGACAATCATCCACATCCATCCACACCCTTCTATCATTTCTTTTTTTCTGTTCTTTTCAAGAAACATAAAAAGTTGTTCTGATTTTATTCAACCAGCAGAGTTGTGTTTTTCTCTTGTAGATTTTTTTTTATTTACTCAAGAAATAAATCGGTCATTCTGCACACAAAGACTACTTTCAAAATTAATGTCAACTATTGTTATCGACTGATAGAACTGCGAAATTTTTCTTATGAAATGTTGATTTTCATATAAATTGTAAAAAGTGACTTCGACTTATAATTTGGCGTAATCAAAGGTAAAAATAACTTTTGCTTTTTTTAAAATATTTATTTCACAAGATAAACATATATAAATCAACAGATAGAAACACAAAAAAAAATGAAAGTGTTTTGTATTTATGTTGTCCATTTATTCATCCAATCGAGTACTTCTTGATACCAAATCATTGAATTGAGTATCGAATGATTTTCTTTGGGAAAATAAAGCATTCGACTTGGAATACCACGTCGTTGTAAAGCTGTAAATGCACTTATTCCTTGTGTATCAGGTACACGATAATCACGACCACCATGAATAATTAACATTGGTTGACTCCAATTTGCAACATGATTGATTGGATTAAATTTTTCAAATGCTTCAGGATTTTCATAAGGAGTAATGTTACCTGCATCATGTTCAATGAACCATAATTCTTCTGTTGAATAAGCAAGTTCTCTTAGATCAAATACACCAGCATGACAAATGAATGCTTTGAAACGTTGACTCATTTCTGGATGTCCAGCAATCCAGTTTATCATATAACCACCATAACTCGCACCTAATGCTACAGCTCGATTTTCATCAATATATTTATAACGAGTTAAAGCTGCGCTAAGTCCTAATTTGAGATCATCATAAGGTAATGTACCATATTGACCTGTAATGCTATCAGTAAACTTTTGTCCATATGAATCTAATCCATGAAAATTGATAGCAATAATAGCATATCTTTGTGAAGAAAATATTTGAAAATTTAAATCATAACTCCATGCATCATACCAACTATTTTGTGGACCACCATGAATAAGAAAAAGTAGTGGTGATTTTTGAGCTGTACCATTTGCTGGTGGTACATGCCATCCCCAAACTGTTTCATTCTTGGCACCTGTAAAATTAAATGTTTCAACTTGAGTACTCATACGTACTTTAGATAAGAGATTGGTGTTATGATTAGTAACAGCTCGTAGGGATGTTTGTGATGAATATAAATAGATATTAGTTGGTTCAATAAGACTTCCATGTCTAAATACAAATATATCATTGTTCGTTGGATGAATATTGATATCAAAGGATAAACCAGTATTCATAAGACGAATAGGAAATGAATCATTAGATAAGATATTGAATAATTTATAAATGACAGTACGTGCTTGTTCACCTAACTGAAGAAAAAGTGATTGACCATCAAGTGACCATGTTATAGCTTGAATACTATAATCCCAATTATTAAGTAGAGTTATTTTTGAATTAGAACCTAGAAAATTTGATAAAGTAAATCATTTGAGTTGCTCATGAAATGTTTAAATTTACCATTATACAATTTAACTTTGAATTGATCAGATTCATAACCAAGTACTGATTGTGATCGATAAACTAAAACTTGATCATCAATTGGTGAATATGAAGGACATGTAATGCACATTGGTTGTAGATCAGATGTAGTTAAATCTACAGTAAATATATCTAAATTAGTTGACCAAGCTGTTTCACTCTTTTCATCATATCGTCTTGTAAAAGCAAATTTATTTCCACTTGCACTAAATGACCATTGAATTTTACCATATCCATAAGATCTTGTTGGTGAATCACTATCAATACCATATAGAACATCTTTTGGTTCTGATGTAAAATAAAATATTCCATTTGCATTTCGTTCAATTGAAACAATTAATGAATGATGTCATCGTCCAAGAATATATTCATCCCAATGACGAATAAATAATTTATCAAATTGATAAACGAAACTTTTACTTGTTTTCTCTATTGCTTGACGATCAGCTGTTTGTTGAATAGATAAATTAGCATAAACTTGACAACTAAATGCAAGACGTGTTGCTTGCCGATTAACTAAGACATTATCAATATCTAATGGATAATTGGTAATTTGAATTGGATCGAGAAAATTGCGTATAGTTGATACATTATCAGGTAAATTGAGTTGAAACAATTGATAAAGACCAGATAAAGCTCGATTAGATAGAAAAAGAATTGTATTATTGTTAATCCAATAAAACTAAAAGAAACATGAATAAATTTCACTGATGTAAATAACTTTTTCATTTTGTCTATTCTTCTTACTTGATGATCATGAATACTCCCAATAGGTCGTGTTAATTGAATAGTTTTATTTGTTTCTAAATCAGTCCAATGAAGTGTTGTTGTAGATCCATTTAAGTCAGGTATATGATATTGTTTTCTAAGATAGATAACGCTTTTTACATTGTCTGGATGAAATTGAGGAGACCATAAACGATCCAAACAAAGATTATCCGCTTGATTAAAATCATGTATTGTTGTCAGTTGATTATAATAATCACTATTTGATTGATAATCAGTGACATTCCATACAAGTATTCTTTGTGAAAAAGGATAGTAATGGTAATATGCAAATATACCTGATCTGATAAAACTAATAATGAGCACAACAATGATACTTAATGCAACGCATCCAGATATGATGCCACACTAAATAGAATTTATCTTCAATTAATTGTACAATTTCTGAAATTTTATTGATTGAAACTCATAATATTATCTTTTCAATTTAAATTTAGATTCTGTCATGTCGTTAAAAATATGGAGTACAAAATGAATGATATAGAGTAAAACATCTGACTCAAATTTTTTTTTCTCAGTGTATGAATAAGATTATTGTGTTCTGTACGAAGAAAAAGAATACAGAATAAAAAATACCGCATTCTCATTGAATAGTTCCATAATGCATAAAGATAAGAATAATGAATGGTGCTCCTCACAATTGTATATTTTACATGAAAACGCGAATATGACTTCTCATTATTCATAATTTGTTTGCGTGAAGAAATAACCTTATTAAGATTTGAACATTGAAAAAATTGAAACTTTATTTTACTAAAGTGATGAAAGAAACTGTGAACTTCAATTCTATTTAAAAAAAGAACAGGTTATCAAGTTATTTTGCTTCATTGAAGAGAAAAGAAAAGTTCACAATAGTTAGATGTTATATCGATAAAGAAATGGCTTAAAACAGCAGAAATTCATTATGCTTTTCTATATATAATACAGATGTTATTGACAATAGAAGAAGATAAACAAAAATGGTCTATCTTTTCTCTTTCATCACCATCTAACAGTCCCTAATGACTATAACAAATCACAGTAAGTATTTGTGAATGTGTTTGTTTAGTCAAAAAAAAAGCAATCGAATATCATTGAACTATGTTACAAAAGAATAAATCAAATTGAATTATAATAATTATTTCTATTATTGACACTGCAATTCAGCAATTTTTTTTTGTCATTAGTTATTTCATCATCGAAATGTTCGAGTCGCTTAATTGATCTCCTATGTAAATGAAGAATAGTGGAACGAAAATTGATCTGACATATTTCATTGTTTTTGTTGTTTAGTGTCTACAGTATCATTTCTCGAACTGCTTACTTTTTTTTCTTATAATGTATTTAATATTGTAATATGATTTTGTTTTTAATCATTATTGTTTTTTTCACTTCTTTCTTTTTTGTGACGCAGAAGTTCAAAGCTGAGTTTGAACTGAGTAGAAAAGTATAGCGATAATGATATCAATCTATCATTGTTACCCTCTCTTTCTCTCTTATATATAAACTTGTGCTGTGTATAAGGTGATCATAATCAGAGATATGAGTTAGCCTAATAAACATCATTAGCGAGATGGCGGTAATAGATTTCAGTAAATAAAAACAGCTGGAAGATAAAGCATCACTTGTCGTTACAGAAATAATTTGAATTATGAGTCCAATTGACTAATTCTTAATAATAATGCACAGTTTTCTATGTGGAAATTCATTCTGCTATTGATAAAAGTATCAGACTCAAAATTAACACAAAAAAAAACTGAATAGAACAGCATATACTTCTCTGACCTTTGGAGAGTTTGCTTTTTTTTCGAATTTCTGCAGATTAAATTTGATAATAATCTCGTCTCTTCTTTTCATTTCCCAAGGACAACAACAAAAATCTTATAATACAATAGGCTCGAGTCGACTAAACCTCGATCAAACATCATCTAGACAATTTTATTTTCATCATCACTCGCTTCACGTGTTCTTGAAAAGTGATTAATTGAGAAGTAAGCTATAAAACGCTGAGGTAAAGACACATTTCAGTTTAGCGTCTATGTCTCTTGTTAAATGAAATACATTTTGTCTTTTCTAACTCATTATTTTTCCCACCGTTTAGTGGTTATTCGTACTAATTAAAACTCTAAAAAAAGACTTTTTTTTGTCACTTAGCAAGATTCAGTAATCCTTTGTTATCTAAATAATGTGCTTTATCTCATAAAGATATATTAACTGGTAGATATCATAATTATTTCACATATGAGGATGTTTAACTAAAACTAAGTAAGTATATTAGTCTCTTCTGATTAGATCTCTTCTTTGAATCTGAATCTCCAAAAATGGCTGTAATTTCTGATTCAGCACTTGTAAAAATTAAAAATGGAAATGGAAACTCAATCAAACAAATTTTTTGAAGAAAACATCATAATTAATGTAATGGTTCGGCTTTTGTATCAAATTAATATTTGTTTATTTTTCAATACAAATATTATTTTATACGTCAACAATGATCAAGTCGTATTTCTCTCTTATCATTTTTTATATAAAAAAAACGATATGTAATAATAAGTCACTTACGGCTTATAGTATGAATATTCTTATTATTTGAGTTTGGCATCATATACTTTTCAATTAAGTTGAATCGACTGCTGTAGTGGTTGACGTCCTCATTGGTTCTTGATACAAGTTGCCATTGTCCGTCACGACAACTTATTCTCTTGTTAATGCTTAGTTCAAGTCGAAATTGCTAGCTCGTCTGCTGAGACATGATATGAGAATTAAACACTCTTACCTATGATATCTGATCTTTGACTCGATAACAGACACACGCACACTCGCCACTATGCATGTAGATTCGATGTGAACTTTGGACTTTTGTTCCCTCATTGAATATGTAAGAAAAATTTAACAGAAAGACACTTTTAGAATATCTTGGGGTCTTCCAGAGAACAAACGCTCTAATGATCAACAACATGTGAGTATACCTTCTGAGAAATGACAAGGAGTACCAAAACTAGGTAATGTTGAACGAAAATGGCTGAATCATGATGCAGACAACAATGATCGTTCTTTCTAATCGGTAGAGTACTAGAAAGTATGATGGCATGTTCTAGTGCTCAGCGACAACAGTATGGTTGCGACCGTTAGATCGAAACAAAAAAAAAGAATTGAACGAAAAAATGACTGACAGCAGCATAATAAGAATTGAAGAAGATGAGCACCTATAACATGAGAGAATATAGAAAATATCTGAATTTAATAGGTAAACACAAATACATTCTATTCCAACTATTCTGGATTTTCAAAGGCACGTCTGCATCATTGAAAATCTGTGATGTGATTTGCAGAATGAATGTGTGTGATTTTCACATTTTAAGGAGAGGAAAAGGAACAGTACTGTATAATAACAAAAAAAGGATCTACATTTTTCTCATGATTGATGAGTTGAGGTGAGAATGATAGTTCAAAGATGATGCCATTGCTGAATAGTTGAAAATGGCATTGGCATCAACCATTCGTTCATCAATTATTGTCACTTCGAAGCAGCATTTTTGCCATAGTCATATAGTTACGTTTCTCGTGACAAATACATAGCTGTAATGATTGTTCTGTTCGTATATTTTCTTTAATTTGAACCAAGCTTTGAAGAATCTTGACTGATTCATCGTCACATGGCAAATGAATGATTCTCATCATTCTTGTATTCATTATTATGTTCGCATCGAAGTATCAATGTCAAGGTGCTAAGTGAATGCAAGATCATGGCACCACCGAATAATTCAAACGATGGCTTCGTGAGGGTGTGAGTGTGGGTTGTGGGATGGATGTGGGTGTCGTTGTGGATACGAATAAAGAGAACGTCTACACTTACACCCACATCCTAGAACTGTAACATGTTTCAATCAAGGAATAGAAGTGTTCGATGATTCAATTCTTTATGAAAAATCTCGAGCCAGTCACCGATTCTTTTGATAAGAGCAAATGTCATGAAACACCTCATGTTATTATTTCTGATTAGTGGCGGAATCAGGATTTTCCAGTATGTTGAGTTTCTCCTCCAGAGCATGAGATCCAGATAAAGCTTATAGAAGTATGATATTGGATCCAAACGATAAATTTTTATCAAAGGATTTTTGCAATGGGAGTTTGGGAAAAAAATTAGCATTTTCCTGAGCCCCATAAAGATTTTTGTTTTGCTATTACTGGTATTTTGTTTTTTAAAATTTAACAGCAACCTACATCGAACTTCATTGACAGATTTCAAATTTCATCTGAAAATATGCATCCGTTCAGAAGTGGATGTTCTCTAAATCCCAACCGACACCTACACCCACACCCTCAAGCCTAACAGAACAACGGATTGATAGAACGGGAACCTATCATAAGTCCAATAATAATTCCACACGATTCTCACAATTATCCCATAAGGTATGCGCATTTTAGTCAGCTGTGAAATATTATATAATACACTCTTAATTCTAACTGAATAATAAGAACGTAAAAGAGATACCATTGTACTTTGTTTTATAACGAAACAGCACAGTTTAGGTATTTTTTGCTGCATCTATTATCATCATATGACATTATCTTTGACAAAATACCTCTTACTTATTAGTTTTACAATACAAATCTCTTACAAATATTATGCGTCTTTACAGCGTGCTTTAATCACCAGATTAACCTATTTAATAATCAACCGTTGATCAGCTGCAGCTGTTGATGACTCAACTGACTATAAGTTGGAATTTTCTAAAAGTTGTGAGCAGTTTGAATCGTTCCAGAATCCATTCATTATTTACTCGTCAGGTTCTACAAGCAACTGGTAACCACTTCTAGGAAATCTGAGACAAACTAGTAAACATGTTCTTCAGTTTGAGAATAAACTATGAGCGTGGATGTGAGTATTGATGAAAAGAACACCAACACCAACACCTACACCCATACCCACACACCCACTTACACCCACACCTTGCACTCCACACGCATACCCACGCAACCACACCCTCACACCCACTCACATCTTACATCCACACCCAATAAAGATAGAAACAAAAACATATTAATTTAATCAACTTAGAACTCCTATTTTATTGACAATATGTTCACTGCTGAATTATTTTGTCAGATGATCGATCATCTTAATCCAATCAGGAAACATTGGAGGATGCTTGGCGCTTACATAAAATACTCTATTCACTCGTTTTAGTCCGAGTGTCTCTATTTCATGTTGAATTTGATTTTGAAATGTTTGTCGTTCGTCCTCATCCACAAGATCAAATTTGTTCACAACAATATCATATGATAAGTCAATCTCATCCAAAAGTTTCATCATGCTGGAATTCTCTTTGACTGATGACTGGATTAGAATGAGACGTCGTGTTAATCCTTTAAAGAATGATATGTATTCCATAGTCATATACACTGTTTCATCATTTCGACCAGGAGCATCCCAAAGAGTAAATTGTGTACTTGAGTATTGTGTAATTTGTTTTGTTGTTTCACCAGCACCCGTTTCAGCCTTCTTTTCTCCAAGAAGACTATTGAGCAAAGTTGATTTACCAGTGGATGTTAAGCCAAAAACGCCAATATGATTGCCATTCATTTCGATCGGTGTAGTGCGTCGCGCCAAGTCAACTAAAACTTTCTTTGCTTCTGTATCTCGTTCAGCGAGATCGTCAAAAGATTTTATGTGTTTCAGACGAGTTTGTGATAGAATGTTGACAAAACTCCACATCATTTCGGCTTGTCGATCATAATATATACGTAAGTCTTCGCGTAACAGTTGATTTTCCCGCTGGTATGGATCTATATGAACAAATAGATCACGTACATGAAGCTTTGTCTTATACAACAGAGAACGTCACAAGACCTGTGTCCTGCAGGACGCAGGTCCTGTCCAGCATTTTTGCTATTTTGTCCTGCAATTCTTACGCCAATGCAGGAGCAGGACAACCTTTTTTACATGAAGGACCTGCAGGGCCATTCATTAGTCCTACAGGACGGAATTGAAAACACAGCACAGAAATAAATCAGCTACACAAAGAATTTGAGATTTATATGAATTTCTATAAAGTGTTTAGTTATTGATTGTAGAGCGATGGACAGTTATAGCATGAAAAACCTAATATAACAAACATTTCTGCGACGTAATTCCTGCTTTTGTCGATAGTGGCAAGGAGAATATATGCTATACTAGCAACTAATGCTTCGGTGGAAAGGTTATTTAGTTCCGCTGGATTAACAGTTACTCAAAGACGAACACGTTTATCACCAAGTCAATTTAATAATACATTATTTATTCGTTCGGACGAGATATTCAAGTACAAAACGTAAAAAAAAGGCTTTGTATTTATCTGTCAATTTCGATCGCATTGCAAACTTTGTATCTTAATGTTTCTTCTACTATTCTTCTGTTCATCTTATGGATCTCAGTATTATTTTCTGTTCATTTCATTTCTATTGCAAAGCGTGTCTTGAGGTTTTTCAACGAAATTATTTTACGTTTTTTATGTAAACAGTACTTTCATGTTTGATATTGTATCTCATCTTCAGTATCAATAAGACTGTAAATCGCTTATCATTGTGATCATCTTCTGGTTCCTTTTTTTTCTTATGAATCTTAAGTACTTTTTGTTCATTTCATTTCATGTATACCAGAAAGCTGCACTAGTACAATTCATCGTACGACAATTTGTCGCGATCATTTCGTCGCATATAAATGAGAACATACATGAATTGAATTAAGTGATTTAGTTTAGTACGTTATTTAATTAATCACTCCTAAGAATGTGTTCCATTAGTCTATTGACTTTTTGTTGATAACACTTTTTTCTCAAAAAATGATAGGAGTGTCAATTTACAATTTATTTAACCTAAATTCAAATTAAATTTCAATTTAGGCTGATTTTAAATTTTAAAAAATTAAAATTTTTGAGCGCGAAAGATTTGAGTTTTAATTAAGTTTTAATTAAAAAAAAATTTTTTGAACCTAATAAATTGTTTTAATCTGATTTAGTCATCGATATTTGGAAAATACAGGACTTAAGCCGTTATACATAAGAAGTACGAGAAAAATCTGGTATTTAAGTTCAGCATATGCTCATAAATATGAAATTTTCTGAATAAATTATACATGAGTTTTGAACTTTAATCTTTCATATAATAAAGATGCTCAAACACCCAAATTTATTAGCATAATTCGTAGAGGAAGAACTATTTTTATTTCTAGAAAACACGAAAAAAAAGTTTGACTTATAACACCTTCAATAAAGTCAAAATCAATTTGAATCAGCTTTCTCTAAAGTTTCCCTACTTTGAATTCCAAAAACTTATTTTAAGTTTAACTTTTCATTTAAAAAAATTATTTTTTTCTTAAATTTAGATTTTCAAAAATTTATTTCTTGATTTAATATTTTTAGATTTAAAGGTGCTACCTCTAAATAATGATGTCCTAAGAACACTTTAGTGTTATAAAATTTAATACGATTATTTTTATTTAATGTTTACAGCACTGAAAACCTAAATGCCATTTTGAAAATTTTCAAAGCCACTTCATCCACCGACCGAGCAGCTTTGCAAATCACAGAAAATAGTCGCAAAAAATACTGAATCAGTCATACACTCCAAGTAACAGCGAATTTTGCCTTCATTTCTTCTTGGTTTTTCTTAGCTGAAGATTTCTTCTTTTAAGTTGTCTCCTGAAAGAACTTCAGTCTCATTTGGTAGCAGACTATTAGCACTTTAACAGAAGGATTTTGTAAGCAATTTTTTTAGAACTGAACTATTTGTTCCTTCGAAGTGCGTCTTCTATCCATCATTTAGATCTAAGAATTCCATAGTAGAGCATATATTTACGTGATTAATTAAATAACATACTGAACCCAATTGCTTAATTGAATTCGTGTATGTTCTCGTTTATATGCGACGAAATGATCGCGACGAATTGATCGGTCGCCCCAGAAAACGTGTTATTAGATTAATTAACATAATCGTTATAAATGATTTTTATAAAAAGAGTACTTGTATGATACTTCACATCATATCTCATATTTAGACAATACTTTACCCTTTTGAAGAACGTAATTAAAAAGTCGTCCTGCAGGCAGTACGCAGGACGAGTTTTTGTTCTGTAAGAGTGTCCTGCCAGGACGAAGATTTTTTGTGTCCTGCAATCTGTCTTGAAAAGCAGGACAAGGTTTGTTAATGTCCTGTATAGTGCAGAGCAGGACGAAAAAAACCGTCCTCTGACGTTTTCTGTCATACAAAGTAGGCCAAACGATCTTCGTCTTTCCTATGTTTGAAAAACGCAACAAGCAGAAGTTTAGCGAAATCGTGCTTGTTTTTTGCTGACACACTGAATTCAGGAATGTTTTACGTAGACAAAAGACTTTATTGTGACTATAAATAGGTCGGCATGAAACACTCTCGATACTATATGTCATTGATGATCATGATTTCATCTGGTTAAAAAATCTTTCGGCATAATTCTTGCCGGATTATAATGTGAAAAACGATGGAGCTGTTTCACATGGACATGATGCAGGCTGATACCGGACGGCAAGAGAAACAAGCTATTTATTGACTTCAGGGTTTCGATTGAAAATTCTGAATTCCTTCAAACTCTATCAGTTTAAGGTACAAATTCAAAGAAATCTATGGTCCGAAAATCTCGTATTTCATGATTATCAAAGTCATCATATCATGATTCGAGTAACCAAAAGTCCACAGTCCAAAACATCATAATATAGGATTTCCCACAGGTCTGTCACAGACTGTGACGGAGTCAAAGCGTAGACCAATATGTTTTTCACAGTTTGTGGCGGAAGGAGGATAGGTTCAACATTCTTGGTCTAAATTTTCAAAACTGCTTTTCATTCATGTTTCACAAAATAACAATGTTTCTATTGACACTACACTTTAAAAGTCGGTTTCAAATTTACAGCATGTCCGTCTCTCAAATAGATTTGTTCTCTTAAAGGAACCTTTATAAATAACTTGCAAATCTTCTTGATGAATATCTTGAACAAGGCACAACAGACCGCAGAAGAACATCGAAATAGACATGTCATGGTATGGCTATATTGATTCATTCTTTGAAATCCACTATGGACCAGAAACCTGGTCGGGAAGCACCACTACCTAACAGTATTTGGCTTTATTGTGGAACTCATGTATATTTTCGAAGAAAATAGCGAATGTAAGTTTTATGTTCGAGGTTTCGTGGCACCTTCCCTCACCCCTCCCCCCCCTCCCCTTACAGACAGGCCCCCATTACAGACCATGGCAACGGAAGAGAACACTACAGACATACCTCCCATTACAGACTATAGCAACTTCACAAAAAAAAATTCTACTCGAAGTATATCAATAAAAAAAGATAACATTTGCCGACAATCAATTATCATTAGAAAAGAATTATCGTCTTTGAGAGAAGTTCAACATCATATATTGTGCCATCAATACAGTGAAAGTAAAGAAGATATGTGAGTTCCACATTTCAGCCCCCAAAGGGGTTGCGCTAACAAGCTTTTTCAACTCAGTTCATTCGTCTGATTTTGGTGCAATGTAAAAACTAGAAGACACTGGTAGTTTGTGACATGGTAGCTGATCTATACTGAGTTTTACTCTGTTTTTCATATGGGTCATACTAGTGGATCTCTTGATGGAAAATTCAGTAACGGACACGTCATCTTAATGTCATTTTAAGTCAATATGTGAATCTAGGCTAAATTATTCCAGACATATCAATGAAGCACTACCTAAAGAAGTTCCACTGAAAAGCATGGTATCTGGTAGATCAAATTTCAAGTGTTGATGAAGTACGTTGTTATAGATATCAACAAAGCCTCTTAATCTTAGATTATTTTCGACTGCGCATTAACTAAAACGTGAAGAAGTTTTCTTAAAATATAGAACTCGTTTTCAAGTTATGCTAAATCTCATACATTCAATCTATCATTAACAGAATCTTAGAGATGACGATCCAGTTCAAATAACTCATTGACATACAAAAATCACTCGTTGCTTACTGGAATTTTGCCGTGCAATATTCAATAGTTCAGCAATAGCATAACCAGCCAATGGAATAAAAGATGCCCACGCCATATCACAGTTGATAATCTTAATCAATGTTTGTTATGAGAACACGTATAGTCGCGGGAAATATTTGCTTGCTTTAAATACACAATATTATTGGAGAATTCCAACTAAAGCAAAACTCGGAAGCCTCCAAGCGTTTTTTAGTTATTTTCTTGCAATAAATGTGATAAACTATTACGTTCTTTTTTTTTCTCCATAACTATAACAATCATAGTAGAGAGAAAATGTGAGTAAGAAAAACTCTGTTCTGTTTTTCTTCCTTCTTCACTATTCAGTCAACATACTCTGTGTCATTTGGCTTTTTCCGCCTTATAAAAACTCTCTGGGTGTCTGAGTTGATGGCATGAAAGAGAACATTAACGTACTTTCAAATAATCAATTGCCATAAATTTTGCTCTTGAATAGAATGTATCATAAGATGTGAAAAAATAACACTTTCTTAAGGAGAGCTAAGACTAAAAGGATTGACAATGAATGGTTGATCAAATTAGATGTTTTTGAACG